CCAGGTACCCCGCTCCTACGTGCATCCGGCGAGATGTTTTTGGCCGGTAACCAGCCTCTTCGTGTATATTTGCTGGACTTACCTCTCCAGGCGCGAGAGTGGACAGACAAAGGAAGCTAGGTGCCCCAGCAGCTGGCTTTGTGAGAGTGATCTTCGTCTGGCCTCTACCCATTGATCTTTCAGGTATGATTGGATCTAAAGTTGCTAGAAACCATCAGGTGCAGCTCGCACGGTCATTGAGGCACGCAAACCACCACACTACGTCATGGTGCAGTCTCGCTGTTATAGTGGCAGAACTGTAGTAAAGTGAATGTGTGGGCTGGACAGGGAAATTCTCGACAGTGTGTACGGCAGCATAGCAATGCGAGACAGACTTTGGCTGTCAGCCAATAGATACTTCAAACAATCTCAGTTTAACCCTACTCATCTTTAGTTCGGGTTTTAGGAACTCCTCGGTTTAGAAAGGGAGCAAGGATTAGGACTAAATGCAAGGTTAATCTGGTGTTACAAAACCAAAGATGTTAAATAAGAGAAATAATAAGTGTGGCAAGGTTTGTGTGAGGTGAGAAGATTGGTTGAACGGATTGTTTATATTATAACTTCTAGTCAGTGTACTTTCTTCCATTTCGCCTGTTCGCCGAGCTTGGCAATTTGTTTGCAAACGTTTCATAACCAGCCGAGGTGACATCATCAGTGCTTGTGAAGTGGCCACTTCACAATTGCCAAGCTCGGCGAACAGGCGAAATGGAATTCAGTTCACCCGAGCTACGAAAACCGATTTTCAATATTTTGTCAACAGTGTACTTTCTATTTACAACCCATTCGTGTTCCTCAAAGCAGTGCGCACTCACTTCAATCAGTCAATGGATAACCTTTGCTATCTCCACTTACACACCATGCATCGTGAGTTCCAGATCAGTAGGAAGGATCAACTTTTTCAACAGCAAAAGGTCTCTCGATTTTCATAAGAAACTCCTTTTGAAGCATACTATCGAGTAATATTGAAAGCACCATCCAAAGACTAGCTCATCTTTCTATGGTCCTTGCATGACTACAAAGAGATCAATTGACAGCCTTAGTCAATGCAATATCGATCGGGCTCGAAGTTGTGTTTGATAATTATTAATCGTTGGGTAACTTGGGCATATAAATTCTTGAGCACGGTAGTGAGCGTGCATACATCCCACATATTGCTTTGATATCGTGGAGAATTTCATTCCCTAATCTATTTCCTGTGTCCCGCTAAAACCATCAACCAACTATTAAAATTCCGTCCTCTCCCTATTGTAAACCGGGATTGCCACAACTTGATACACGCGGCTGAAATTCAGTTAAGTAAGGCAGCATCCTACCTTCAGCCTACTGCTTTTCAGTAAACTTTTAAACGAGCCATCTAGCTTGTCAACATTTCCACATCAAGCAAGATTACTATCCTAATTTGGCTTGATTGAACATGTCTTTATTTAGTTTGCAAGAACAATGGAGTCTTGCTATCATTAGTTACACCTTTAGGGTCTAATTAGTATCCGGGACTATACACTCACTTTAACCATCGCCGAATGAATTCAATGGGTTCGAGCTCCCTCCTGTGATAGTCTATTTTTTCACACCTCGAGATACCAGCAACCCGCGCTGTATGTAAAGCAGATTGTTTTTTGTGCTAGTCGGTTATTTTCCCTGTCCCAACTCCTGTAGTATAATGTTCACATATTATAGCAACTAACATGAATGGATGTTATAGGAATTTTTCAGATTTATTCTGTTTTAGGGTGAATCGCTACTACTAACTATTAGGATTAGCTTTTGGAAGATACAAGTTTTCACTCAACTTCAATGTTTGAGTGAACCATTATAAATCAACTACCTCGAGGGTGAACGACGGATTGTGCAAACCGTGAAATGCTTTCCAACAACTTATGTTCCCCAATGATCATATGACCAACGAATAAATGTTTCTGTTCACTAGAATGCAGCATTAGACTCGGGCAATCTTTGTGCGCTTCCTGTCTTTCCCATTACGAAGTAAAATCAATAATGCGGGTTAACTGTAAACATCGTCTTTCCTGTTTAGTTGTGGAGGCCAACATTCATCTCTGCATATCACGATCTAAAAAAAGAACGAAGGATACTTGAGAGTGACAGCAGTAAAATGAGAAGTTAGTTCAGTAAAAGCTTAAGGTAAGGCATGTTGTGCACGTCTGTGACAATACCTTACCTGATACTCAAGGTGGTCTTACTCCTTTGGACTACACAAACCAATCATTTCATCCACATTTAGGAACAGCAACCAAAACCTAAAAAAAACATTTGATCTTAGAGTATTAAGCTTGGATTAGCCCATTCGATTGTTCAGAGGTACCAGGCACATTTGATCATTCAGGACCACACCCGTATCAGCGTATCAACCACTCCCATTTAGACAGAATCCACCCACAAGACGGCCGTTAACTAATTATCATCGGGAGATACTAGCATTAGGCGCTACTTGGATTACGTAACATGTAGTTGTCCTCTGTTTATCAAGNCGTGACCATGATCACCTGATATAAAACCCCGTTCTTTTTATGTTCGTTCAGTGTAGTTGCTGGAAGAATGCTGATGAAATTTCATACTGAAAAGAGTATACGGAATAACAATCTCTTGTATTTTGTCTAGAATGACCGGTTGGATAAAGGAGCCTCTGTGTTTTACGCGTACGACTTCCGACTCCGTGTCGGTCTACGTGTTTCGAACGTGCCTTCCAGTGATAAAATTGCGCACGTTATCTGGTGGGAATGTGTTTGTTTATTAGCTTAGTGCACGGTAATTTATTACTGTTGGAGTAAAAGATGTACACTTCAACGCAATGAACAATCCAAATGAACAAAATGTCCAAACTGCGAACGCTTGCAGTTCAAAGCCAGCGGCGAATTTCGAGGAAGCAGCTTCGATCGGATCTATCTGTGATTGTACCGCCGATCGAACCTCAGCACGCAACGACCTAATATTCAAACATGCTTGAGCATGCTCATCAGTTGAACGATCCATCATGTACTGACTCACTGTTCAATCTGACCGAGCGAGATCAATTACCATCTGCCTCGTTTATTTTCGTCTGAACGTCACTCGATCAACGGTCAGGAGCCTCGCACTGTCGAACATCCACCCCGTCGAGACATTCACTCTCGTTCGATAACTCACTCAAAAAGCAATTTTCTCTAGACAGAAATCAATTCACTTCGAATGATTAATTGATTTGATTTGATTAACAGGATCTCATGGATGACTTACGACGATCAAAATACCAATTACATTCCGGTAAAAACTGATAGGGAGATTCGCTCGAAGTTGGAAAAGTAGACATGTAAGCAAGTGACTCTTCCAGTACAAAACAAAATTAACTAGATAACGTAGTTAATTGGTCAAGGTGTGGTCAGCTGAACGTCAACCGAGCCGTACAACCATACACACTCCGAAGCACGGACACATTTTTGTCCCTATATAGGCTCCTAAATATCAGTCAAAAATGTCACTCATTTACGAATTTCACCATAGAGCATACTGTTGCGTTGATCGCTTAGCCACCATTAATCTCAACTAAACCCTTT